GGAGTCAGAATCACCTGAATTTAAATCCTGTCTCTGACACTGTGTCATTCTAGGCAAGCCACTTAACTTCTCTAGGCCTCAGTTTCTTAATCTATAAAATGAATGGGCTGGACTATTATATGACTTCTAAAGTCCCTTCCAGCTCTAAAATCTATGATCTTGCCATTTGTAACTGTTTCCCTAGAAAGGAGAAAAGGTTTTGTTTGTTGGACTAAAACTTTCATATCAATGAGTGCTATGAGGATAATGATGACCCCTATGTTCTGAAGGCTCGACCAGTGAAGTTCAAGATTTGGCAGGCCCTACCAAGTTGGTGTAATGGTGTGCTGCCAATAGGAGCCAAGTTCTTAGGAGTATGGACAGCATTCTTGCTATATCTTTTCAGTAACTATCTCTTTATAAGAAGCTAACTTGTTAATTGGTTAAATTGATAGTGCAGCTGTAATCACGAGGTCAATCAATGATACAGGGACGATATTAGCTATAACTGGCACTTGATATTGGGGAAAACACATGGGAATAGGAGTTAAAGCCAATAGTAATAGAAGAACCCCATTGTCCCTCAGTGGTACCCCTAGAACCCTGAGGAAGTATCTTTTGTGGACTTGATTTGCTAGTAGGAGTTGGGTTAAGGATCCAAAGAGTTTATGAAGGCTATATTTGGAAAGGCTTCAGATATGTGTCTCTGCTTTCTAAGGATCAACCTAGCTAAGTATGGAGAAACATCACCACAAGGTTGGTTGCTAGAATAAGTTCTTTTAGTTTATGAAAGTCCCTGAGACAAGTCATCAAGGATGTTCATGGATTGACAATGGCTTTCTCCAACCTTTATTTCCAGAGACGTAAATGTATTTTTAAAAAATGATCTATGACTAATAATTTTGTCAAAAAACAGTCTTGCCACAGGAATGGAGTGCACTGCCAGATGGTGTCTGTGTTTGTCAATATGTCTATCACCAGAAAAGAGAAAAAGCAAGTACGTTAGGGAGGAGTTCATAGGGGTTAGAGCTAGAAAAGACCTTAAATGCTATCGTCATTTATCATATAAGGAAAGTGACTTGTCCAAAGTCACACAGGGAGTAAACAAGAGAGGCAGCATTAGAATCCAGGTTCCCTGACTCCAGAGGTATTGAGATACCAGTGGGCCTTACTAGAGTGCCTGACTCATCTTTTCAATGACTTAACATATGGGTCAATTAAAGACTTAGGGAATGAAATTCTGTTACTTAGGCTGATGATTTACTGATGTTGAGATATTTTACAGGTGTACCAAATTACTTTTATTTCTAACTTCATCATCTGGCAGATAATCAATACCCCTGGCATGTTTCTGACATTGGTTGATATTTTTGTTTTTTAACAGAGACAGAAAAAGAATGAGTTTCTCTGGAGATGGGACTATATTAGTCTTTGTCCCTTTACACTTTCCTAAAACATGACCTGTTTGACATGTAGGAGCTGTGCCTCTGACATCTGTTTTTTCTTTACTAACACCATTTGACTAATAATCAAAGAAAACTCTACTATGGATTTTTTTAAGGTGAGTGTAATAGACTTTGATTTTGAATGTGAGGTCAAGAAAAAAAATGTCAAGTAAGGATAATAAAACTAAAAGGGACTAAATCAATAACATTAGAGGACTAAGAATACCTAAACGGGATATTGGAGAAGTAACAAAATAAGTCAGAAGAATGTGAAAACAGAATTAGAATAATGAGAAAAGTATATAAGAACTCAAAGGACAGATAAGGAAAAGGACAGGAGAAAAGAAAGGATAATTTTGTTGGTGAATGAAGTAAAAAAGAGCAAATGTGATAAAATTATTGCCTCCAAAATGATGTCATTTAAAAATGGAACAGGACATTTGACAATGGAAAATTGTTAATACAATAAATGGACACAATGAAGAGTTCAAAAATGATATATCCCATTAAACCAACACACTTAATCATCTGCTGAAACCTGAAAATGATTCATCTTAGAGCCCATCCCATCTTCCCTATGAAAATGTGAGCTCCTTGAGGGTAGGGGCTATGATTTTGCTTTTATTTGTAACCTTAGCACTTAGCATTGTGGCACACAGTAAATGCTTAATAAATGTGAGTTGAGTGATTGATCAGCCACAGATTTGTTTACCCCAAAACTAATCTGTTCCATGTCCTATTATTCAGAATCCTGTCATGTGGCTGATTCATGTGATAAGCTAACTCATACCCAGGTTTTCATAAGTTGTAATAGTTTAATGTCACCTGTCTCCAGCATTAGCTTCAATTTAGTGTCCCAAGATCTCTGCCTTTCCTTGAGGGTCAGGGTTCTTCTCCTCCCCAACTGCTTCATCAATTTAAGGTACCTTTTGTGCTGCTTGTTCCAGGTAAAAATTGCAATGTTTGTCTTTAGTATAAAAAAATCCAAATTGTGTTTTTAGACCTCCTTCTGACTTCATCCTTCATTCTTCATTATTCTGCTTGTTGTACTGTTGAGTTTCCAGAACAGACACAATAGTTTTAAGTGTACGGACAAAAATATGTTCTAAGGTCAAATATGAATTATTTTAAATTATCCATCCATTCCACTGCTCCCCTTCCTCTGTTAGTACAGACAATCAGGGGTTCACAATAGTTTATCTACAATGCAAACTTGCTCTGTATTTTAAATATCCTTCACTCAAACTGGATTCTCTGAAATTCTTTTTCCAAATTAATATGTATGTGGATCATAGATTTACCAGATGATGGCACCAAAATGAACTTTGAGGAGTCAGAAATAAATGAAAGCAACACGCATTCATGATCTACTACACATTTATGATACTTTCTCATGTTAAGTAATGTGGCTCCCACCTTCTATCTTGTCCTCTCACCTCAAGGTGAGCATAGGATCATAGATTAATAGCTGGAAGGCACCTTATAAGTCATTGAGCCTGACCCTACTTCTTTTACAGATAAGGAAACTGAGGACCAAGGAAATTAAGTGACTGCCTAGGACCACCCTGATCCCAAGTGTTTAAGGCAGGATTTGAACTCAAGTGTTTTGACTCCAAGTGTGGCACTCCAAGTTGGCTTCCTAAAGAGAAGGTTGAGTAGAAACTGCATATATTTCCAATAGCTCTAAACAAACTTGTTAGACACCTGCTTACCAGGTAATGGGAGGAGCCCTGGAAACCTTTGTTCCTATCCTACCTGTGTGTGCGGTGATTTATCTATCTTTGCCGACAATACTTTTTTTTTTTACTATCTTCTACAATGTTATGAGAAAAAAAAGAAATCTTATGACCTAAATGACTTTTTCCTTTTCCTTAATGGGAACAATTTACTTTCTTCTTACCATCAGGATTAGGCATAATACTTTACAAGACATTAGCTGTTGGCAAGTTCTCTTGTTATTTTTCTTCCTAAAAGTAACAAGGTCATCACCTTCTTATTCCCATTTTGTAAATGGGTTCTGGGGGTTGGGAAAATGAATTGGACAGGGGTTGAAATGAATTGATTGGGATGGGGAGTAAGGATTTATTTACTTGTAAAATTTCTTACCACACATCAGTGGAAAGAGTAAGGAACTGGATTCAGATGATTTGTGGTTCAAATGACAATGATTGAACCATACTACTTGAGGTATGTGGGTATCATGAATAGTTTAATAATGTAATTATCACCAATCCTTGGGGGAAATTGAGATGAAGAAGTGTTTTTACATGTGGCATTCCCATTCTGGGAGAATACTCTTGGAGACTGGGGCTGCAAGCCAAAATAGGTTTTTAGCTGGAAGGGGATGAAGTAAAGTGGGGATGATTTTGGAAAGCCTTGGAATGTAAACCCTTGGAAGCAAACTAACTCACCCATTATCTCTTCAGCTTGCAATATGGTAGCGTTTTCAATCAACTCAACAAGCCCTGTATTAATTGAGCGACTACAGTTGCAGCATGGTACTATGGACTATAGGAAATATGTGTGACACACACATTTCTTAAACATGTGCCTCACTATAGTTATGGTGATCTAAGTTGAAGCTTACTCCTTGCATGGAGACTATATTTGTAGGAAGGAATGAACTAGGGTCTTAGGAATTGGTTTTGTCTTAACTGTCTTTGTCATGTTATCTGATAGTAGTAGTCCCTCTGGTGACCCGACCTGCTAATTCAAACACAAATTGGGGAATCCTCTTCCTCCTCCTCTTCCTTTTCTTCCTCCTCTTTCTCTTTTCTCCTCCTCTTCCTCCTTTTTTTCCAAAAAGCTGGGACAATTTACTTTTTGCCCTGAGTGGTTTTCATTTTTGATTTCTTGAAATATAGCTCAGAAAAGGAAGACTTTTAAAAGCCCATTGTGTTAAAGATGGAACTACTTGACTCCACCTTAAAACCCAAATCACTCTGGCTTTCATTGAATGGCCAATAATAGCCATTAATGGCCAATAATGGAGATAATTTAAGTTAGTAGTATCCAATTAGTTTTAAATTAAATAAACTTTTCAATAATATTATAAATTTAAATGAATCAAGGTAATATACAATATCCCTCCACAAATGTCATATTCCAATGCTTCAGAAATAAGAGAGTCGGTTTTAGTGGGGAAGATGAGTTTAGGGTTAATTTGTAGTTTTGGTAGGAATGTCCAGTTGGAGATGTTTAGTATTAGCTAGGGTTTAGCGCGGATAAGAAAGAAGTCAGAGCTAGAGATATAGACTTGAGAATCACCTGAATAGAAATGCTGGGTGAAGCCATGAAATTGGCCTCATACTCTGAGGGAAAGACAGAATGTCCAAAATAAGTACCGGAGGAGAAAGAGGAGCCTTAGAAGGAGACAGAGAAGGCTCAATTACAGTGTAATTCTAGAGGTTAAAATCCTCTCACTTGTGATAGGCACTTAACAAATGTTTTCTGAATTGAATTATAAACTCTAAAAATCAGAATAATGCTGTGTCCAAAAGCCAAGGGAGGAAAGAAAGAGTTTCAGGAAGGACAATGTGGTAAATGGTGCCAAATGCTGCAGCAAAATTAAGGCAAATGCTTACTTCAGCAGCACATATTCTAACATTGCAACAATACAGAGAAGATTAGTATGGTCCCTGTTCAAGGATGACATGCAGATCCATGAAGTCTTCCATATTTTTAAATAAATGGTTAGGAAATGAAAAGAGTAATTAAATAAGAATGCTACTCTTAAAAATGTTAAGGATTATGAGAACTGACAACAGGTCTCTAAACCTGGTGTGTGTAGGAGGTCACCCTTTGGAAAGCCAATTTCAGTAGAACAGTGGTTGTGGGCAACCAGATTGTAGGGGAGTAAGGAGGAATAAATAGTGTGGAAATAGAAGAAGGGAATGTACACTATCCACCTTTGATAAATTTTCTATGAAAGGGACTAGAAAAACGATACAAGTATCTAGTGGTAGTGGTGGTCTATAACAAGCCAAGTGAAGAGTTTTCTCCAATATGGAGCATGTCTACACATACATACATACACACATAGGGAGAGGAAAAGGGAAGAAATTTAGGTGAAGGCACAGAAGAGAAAGGAATCAAGTGTGGGGCTAAGGTCTTGAACAGATTTTTACCTTGCCTCATTGTCACCTCACAATGTTGCCTTTAGGGTCCCTTCATTAATTCGGACCCTGTCCCATCCATAATGGCTAATCTGTCTCCAAATACTGACTGACTACTGAAGTCACTTTGCTCCTTCATCATGGACAGCTATCATTGGGATGACTCTGCTGTAGGCGTGCATATGAGCGTGTCAACAGGTCAAAAGAAATTAGAGAATAGACGTGGCTAAAATCCTAGTCCTAAAAACAGCACTGTGGCCATTCTGCCTTCCCTCCTTAGGTATCTTTTTAACATGAATTCAATTTGTGTCCCATTAGCCTCCTGCTATAAATAGAATGTACCAAAGAGTCATAATGAATGTAGATGGGGCTGGTAGAAAATGTTGAGCTCAATTTAGAACACTTTTAATGGGACTAATGAAATGGAGGCAGGTGTAGGTTAGGGGATAGAAAGATGATATAAGCATCAGGAAGAAGATCTGGGGTCCTAGGATCATAGATTTAGAAGTGAAAGGGACTTTGAGGTAATCATTCCAATAAACTTATTTTATAGATGAGGAAACTGAGACTCAATGAGTTTAGATAATCTGTCCAAATTCACATGGGTAGTGAACTGGGATTTGAACTCATATCCCATGAATCTAAGTTTAGCACTCTAAGGACTCCATCTATTGCTTCCCTAGACAAGTCATTTAACCACTCATTGGCCCAAGTAACTATCAAAACTGTAAGTTGTGACACAGCTGCTGACCTACATTGGCAGGAAGCAAGTTACCTTGCCTACAGTTCCCTATACCAATTGAATCAGGTCTGATAAAAAAAGAAAACAAAGCAAAAACCAAACAAAAAATCCCAAACAAACCAGAACTGGAAAGGTGAAACAGCATATATTTCATGCTGGTGATATCTCTCATAAGGAAGTGAAACCTGCAATGCAATCATTTTATAATGAACCTGAGGCTTTTCGATGGAACTGATTACATTTAAGGAAATACCCTAGGGCTCATGCCAGGGTGCTGCGCCTCATAAATGACATGGTCTGATCATTAGGTTTCTTGATATTTCAGTAGTCCAAAGTTTAAATTTTAGTTAAGCCTCTTTGGACACAGTCCAAGGTGGTCCTGGATTAATATTGAATTCTTCCTTTTTGCAAAGTGTTACAGGAGAATTCCCGTGTCATCTGATCTGCTGTTTTTTTTACAGGTAGGAGAGGCACTAATATATCTGGTATTATTTTAGGGGTGCCTAGAATGACCTTTTGCCATAAATATATTCCTCATTCAGGCACCTGAAACTCAACCTTTGGAATAGGGGTTCTTAACCTTTTTTTGGTGACATATACTGCTTTGGCAGTCTGGTAAAGCCTAGGGACTCTTTCTCAGAATAGTGTTTTTAAATACATAAAACGAAAACACATAGAATTACAAAGGAAACCAATTATGTTGAAATGCAATTATCAAAAGAAAAAAAACACCAAGTTAATAGACTCCAGATTAAGAACCCCTATTTTAGATATTCATTTCTTTGGGGTTACCTATTGAAAACACAAATAATTTTGGCAGAGGTGATGTATTAAATCAGTGGCATCAAACTCAAATAGAAAGGAACTCTGCTCGTGCAACATATTGACTTAGAAAACCACAAATTAACATTATCTATGTTGTATTTTTATTTATTTTGTTAAACTTTTCCTAATTATATTTTAATCTGGTTTGGGCCTCCTGCAGTTGAGTCTGACATCTTTACATCCTTATTACATCCTTATTGGCTTAATGTAAATTACTTTATTAGGTCATTTTTATCTATAAGGTTAGCATAAGGTATTGAATAATTGGAGTGAAGAGGAGACTCTGAAAGGGGAGAAAATGTTGAAAAAAAGACCTTATGGATCTGAGTAAGTGAGTCAACATGATGGGTATAGTGACATGTATATTGCAGAAAGGAAAATTGTATAATTCGGATATCAGATGGTCTGAATATTGAAATCTTTCACTTTTCTTCTACTCCTCCCCCTCCCAATCCTGACAAGGGAATCTCAAGGTCTAAGAGCTAGAAAGAATGTTAGGGATCATAATATCCCAACTTTTCATCTTACATATGAGGAAACTGGCACGCAACGAGAGGAAGTAGCTTGCCCAAGGTCCTGTAGTTCATGATGGCATATTGAGGCATGAATGTGGGTAAATTTTTTTTTTAATTAAAGAAAGGAAGGATACTTCTCACAAGTTGTTGAACAGCTCTTAAGGAGGCTACAGGGTATAATTGGACCACAAAAGTCTAAGGCATAGGAGAATGGCAGGATGTGACAAGAAACTTAAAGTGATCTGGCTCTGTTTCAAAGCCTGTAAAACATGTGTAAAAAACATCCCTGTATGGTGGTTCAGGAGCAGGTAGGGTAGGCTAAGCCAAATATACAGAATGCAAAGTCAATATATTAAAGTTTGTGTTAATGTGTAACTATTCCTGGTACAAGTCCTTGCAAGGGATTGCAGGTCCTCGCCAAGTATGAATATGACACTATGTTTGTTACTTACTTACTAGGATTAATATTCAAGGTTTCAGATTCCTGCCAGGAGAACACATGAGTAAGAGAGGAGAGAATACCTATTGCCCAACCATGTGGAAAAAATATGCACACACATATATAAATATATATATATATATATATATACACACACACATCTGTAGTCTATGTATATAATATGCATATGTTTATGTGTGTATGTATGTATATGTACATATATAGGTTATATATACATATATGAATATAAGTGTGACAAATTGAAAGTAAATTCAAACTGAGCGAGGATATAAGGGATGATAAAATGGACAGATGGACCAATCACATTAATGTTAGAACTGCAGATGTGTAAATAAGAATGGTTGTTCTTAAGGGGCCAAGCCTTTTACCCACTAGCTGAAGAAGACTATCCCTTAAGGGGGATTCAAAGGGACTAAGGGGAAGGGAACATGTCTAATAAGATAGTTGTTCTGCATGAGAGTATGGAAAACACCAGTTTGTAGGGAAAGAAGAGAAACATTTTTCTATAGAGTGTTAATAGATTGAATGAAAGAACCATAACCCTTAGTAAAATCACAGAATCATAGATAGTGATGTTAGAGATGAAGGAACCTTAGAAGTTACAGTCCAACCCCATCAATTTACTGAGGAAGAAACCAAAGACCAAGAGAAGTAAGGTGACTTGTCCAGGATCAGATAGGAGCAAGTAAATGAGCCAGAATTTTAAAAAAAAGGTCCTCTGGTCAGGGCTTTTTCTATTACACTGTGGTATTCTCTTCTCCTTATTTTACAGGATGTGTGTATATGGGAAAATGGTCTCAGAGATGATGTGACTTGGTAAAAGTCATATAAACAATAACTAGCAGAACTGGGGTTTGAACACAGAAGGACCATAATGCTCCAGATGAGGTCTGCTTAGGGTAGAGAGAGCATAGCGGAACCATCATCTCTGTATTTCTGGAAGCTATGCTTTTCTTAATGCAGCCTTTTTTTGACTGCTGCATGACATTGCTTGCAGTACCCTGAAGCCACAAGATCTTTTTCAGAACAACTGCTATCTAATCATGTTTCTTCTATCTTTTACATCTGAATTTGACTTTTTTTTTGTGGAAGGGGAAGTCTTTATTCTTATCCCTATTGAGTTCCAAATGTTCTGCCAAGATTCTTTTGGATCCTGACTCTGTTATCCAGTATATCAGCTTAGTGACATATGGAAGAAAAGGAGGGTAATCTCCCCCTGAGATTACCTCCCATTTACATTACACACCACACACACATACATACATGCATATGCACACACACATATATGTATATGTATGGTATGCATGTATGTATGTGTATATATGTGTACATATATCCATTTATATCATGTAGGTTCATAGTTATTTGTATGTTGCCTCCCCCATTAGAATATGAACTCCCTGAGAACAGAGATTGTTTCTTTATATCTTTCTTTATATCTCTGCTTCTCAGCAGAGATATAGTGCCTGGCATGTAAATGTTTGTTGACTGATAGAAAGGACAGGAAGCAACCTCTGGTTAGAATGATGCTGTAATGAAATTTTCTTATAATATATTAATGTATTACTAACCCAGCCACACTAGGGCAGAGCACCTTGCCGGTAAGACCATGGTGCTAACAAAGTCAAAATTTGGGAGTTTTTTTTTCCTTCTGTATATGTGTCTGATCACTTAACACATTAAAAAATGGAAGCATGTCCCCTTTCCCCTTCCCTATCCCCAACAGATCAGCTTGGGTCTCCAAAGTGCAGTATTTCCTCTACTAGCACTAGAGGTATGTGGTCAGAGCAGCTGCTTGGGGACTCTATACCTGGGCAAGCCACCAGGTGGTTCTCTAATCTTGCTGTGCCTGCTCACTCAAGAGAGCATACGTGAATATGCCGTGTCATTCCAGTCTTGAGCTACCAGCTCATTCATGCTATATATACACAGGTAGCACCAACCATACCCCAAACTTTGTATAATCCCTCATGGTTTCTAGGTCTTTATGCTTAAAGTCTAAGGGTATACTGATATTCTAATAGTT